CAGAGAAAGAGAGTGGGGAAATACATTCTCTAGCTTACTATTTCTTAATTCTGAAGAATTATTCTAACCTAGTCTTGAAAAAATCTGTCCTGTTTTTCATACACCTGGGAAGGAGACATGTGCCAATGGTAGCAAGACCCATCTGCCATTTCAGAGACTGAGAGATGTCAGTCTGGTAGTGATCTCCTCCCATCTTGAGAATATGGAGGTATTTAATGTCTATTGTCCTCAGCCTTGGAGTTTAAAGTAATGTTGAGAGAGAAGGAATACTCCCTCTCAAGTTCAACATCCTATGATACTTAAGGAGAATCTTGTAGGGCTATTATGCCTTTATGTGTGAAATTCTGAAAATACAACTATATCAGTATTATTCCTTATTATCTACCACAATAGAAAAAGCTGATTTAATCCATTCTTCCAGTGAACAAAATTTCTTTCTCTCTCTCTCTCTCTCTCTTTTTTTTTTTTTATTACTTGATAAACTCATTTCTCTGTTTAAGGCAGCGGGGCCAGTGTACCTGTATGCACCCAAGGTAGCCATGCTGTGAGGCTACGTGAACGGCGCTGTTCCCATCCTGGTCCACTTCATCCAGCGAGATGCCCTGTTCTTGCATAAACTGAAGAAGCCACAAAAGAATTTTTTCCTGGAAACACAAAAGGGGTGGAATGAACAGAATATCATGTAGAGAAATCTAATAAGAGACAGAGGAAAACAGAACTCCAAATGAAGTTAAGATATAACCAACCTTGCAAGAGAAAATTCCCATGCAGTATGAACTGAAAATTCATGACTCTGCCTGATGTCAACGAAAGGCGAATGCTCAGAGAATTTTAAGAGCAGGAAGTTATCTCTGAACTGCTTTTGTTTTACTTACTTATTCTATAGATGGGAAAGTTGATCTGCAGAAAGTTTGAGAACCTCTTCAAAGTCACACACCTGAACAGATTCAAAGTAAAAACCAGAATCCAAGTCTTTCGATTCCAAGGCCATGATTTTGCTACTTACTTTTACTGTCTTCAGTCTTGAAGAATATTATTATAAAACCTCAAACTATTGAGATAACTAACTTGTACTTTTAAGTTTATAATGCTTCAACCATGTCTTCCTAATCCCATGCTTCCTACAACCAATAGGTTTACAAAAAGAGGCGACACGTGAAATTGCCAAATATAAGATAACCTCACCAAATAAAACTGGGACCCTCTCGATTTTTCTGACCAAATAAATATGGGTGGCATTTTAAAGGCAAAGCTTTCTCTTCTTCCATGATACAGGAAGGGCACCTAAAGCTCTGAACATAACCTTTCAAAAGCAAAGACGTGGAGCAGTCAGTGTGTGTTACCACAATCTGTTTGTATTTTACCCACTGAGCCTTTGTGGTATTTTCATGTTATGCTTGGCTTCAGGAGAAAGCAGGGGGGTGGGATTTCGCTGTTTAAAATAGAAAAATTAAATATAATGTTAAAAAAATATGAGAGTGGTAAAAACAACAGTATGAAGTTAGTGGGTGGAATTTGACATTTAAAAAGATGATCATGTGTTTGAAAAAGCCTTGAACCTCTTCTTAGCCTTTTAAAGGATTTTTTTTCCCTAGTTATTTGCTCGGACTGGTCATGAACTTTTATACTTTTCTGGATTAAATTTGCCTTCACCTTCTGAACATGCCAACTAATCTGCTAAAGGAATGTTGGATAAAAACAGCCAACTCCTTTAATGTTGTGCTCCTCATGTGGGGAACAGGGCACTGTTTGTGAAGGCATCTGGGACATCAGGGGCAGACTGAACATTTGCACCACACCTTCTCCACATGAGCAAGCAGCGGGTAAGACCCCTCAAGAGCAAGGAGAGAAAAATGTACCTACGACCTACTAAGAATGCATCCAGGGAAGGCGGAGTGAGTGTTAGCTTCAAAAGCAGACAGACCTTGTGGAAAGTGAGACCCTCAACATTCCCAGAGGATGAGGCTGAGCAGAGCCTGGAGGCCGGGCTGGAAGTCAGAATCTGGATGAGGATCTGCCGATAGGCTTAATCCTCTTCTTCAGAGGCAAACTTGGAGAAAGTTGGTGCCGAAATTTGGACCAGAGTGGGTGATGTTTCACATGCATAAGGTGGAAACATTTGCTTTATTTTCCCTTATTTGGTGGGGAAAAAACTGGATTATTTTTGTTTGGAGACCAGTGATTGCACCATGTGATCTTAACTCCTTAAAAGATCCAGATGAGTGGATGCATTTCAGAATAAAGGGCATACTACCTGGTTGGAAGTCTATAGCTAAGACACAGCTGCAGCTGTACAGGTGACAAGGACAGCCCTGCCATGGTCAGTGGGTCATTTTCAAGCTTGTGGAGACTGGACTTGCACCATGATATTAAATCATGGAATCTTAATACCACTGAGTATAAGAGATTTTAAGGAATCATCCAATTTAAACACCCTTACTTAACAAATCAGTATACTGAAGAAGATAACTGTATATTTTCTGATTTCCCAACAGCTCCTTTCTTTAGTAAGTAAAGTTCAGAAGAGTTCAAGATATTGAGAAATGTTTTATATATGCCTTCTGGTCAGGCACATTTTTATATTTTCAGACTCAATTAAATATTATAGTGGATATGTCTATTCCACATGCACAGAAAATGCCCTTGACTATAATTCACAGTGTTTTGACTTTTAGTAATGGGGCTGTAGGAGATGGAATACTGCACTTCATAAGTCTAAGAATTTTTTTCCTTTTAGAAATCTGCGAAAGAATCTGGAGACCTGGATTTTGCAGGGGCTTGATAATTGGGGGGAACAAGACGAGGTCTGTGAGAGGCAAGAGCTGCCCTGGCTCCTGATGGCTCCCTGAGTCGATTCAGTCCATATTGTTACAACGAGCTGCCTTCTTCTTTTATGAAGGTGTGGATAACTCTTTCTTCCTTATAACTAAAGACTGAACCCTAATCGATATGTAATATCATGTCGTTTATTGTAAGATAAATGTATATCCCAGAGATGGTGAAATGTGAAAAAAAAAAGTACATCTAAGAATTGCTTAAATAGGTTAAGGCCTAAATAATTATTTAATAAGTTTCTCTTATATTTTACTTATGGTGAAATAAATAAGCTAATACCGATAGCAATAAAAATAATAAATTGGAAGGCATCCAGTAATCATAATAGCCAAAAATTTATCTAGTACCTGTGACAGGCAGTGCTTCATGGAGCTTCTCTCATTTAGTCCTCAGAACTACCCTGTGAAGAAGGTTCCATCATCACCATTTGAAAGATGAGGACACTGAGGTCCAGGGAGACCTTTTCTTCTTTCTTTTTGAAAAAATAAACGTATCCAAGGCCACTAAGCTAGTGAGTGGTAGGGCTAAGATTTAAACTCTGACAACTTGACTGAGGAGCCAGTGCTCTCCATGACTCTCTGCCTTCTGAGTATTCATAGCCACAACTGCTCAATGCCCCATGACCGCTTACTCTGTAAAAAAAAGACAAGGGTGCTACCCTTGCACCCTCTGGGTCACAGAAAACAGGGTTAACTGCTCATCAGTCTTTGGGTTCATGGAGCTCTGTGTTGCTTCGACTTTGCCAAAGATCAGTCCTTGGAGAGTAGATGAATGCTCACGCTAATCAAAGATTTTTCTGTTTTGCTTTCATCTGCAATTGCGGCGCTCTCAGTGTTGTTTACTTATTTCTACCCCATGGTGGTGAAACAATAAAGTCAAAGGAATCTTTCTCCTTTTTAAAGTAAGTTGTGGAAAAACAATAACATACAGCCAGTGGAAGCGCTCCCCTCTCACCAGCATGTCGACCACTGGTACGACCATTTGTAGGAACTGCTGAGCCTTTTATTTTTTCAAAAAGTACCCCACCCACCGCCTGCCTTTTAATCTGTATCAGGGCAAACATTTAAAATGAAGAATGAACACCACAGTGTGAGCAAAGGTATTCTTCCTGGTAAAATGCTCATTGCTAATATGAACCTTGTTTTTGTAGCAGAATCTCTTGACCACAAGTCATGTGAATGATCCAGAAACAAAATGACAGGTTTGTAGTTGAAAGTAACAGAGCCCACTGAACCAGTGACCAATGCAAAACAGGCTGAAGCCCCCAAGAAGCAGAGGGCAAGAGCTTTGCTGGGAGCCCAGAGGAGACCATTTGAACCTTCATGTTTGAATAAAACAGCAGAGCTATACAAGCAGTAGCTTTGACTTGAGATGATTTTGTCTCAATTGTTTCACCAGCAACATTTCCCTCAAGGGACAGCAAAGCAAGCTTATCTGAGGACACCCCCACTCGTTCCTGAGTCTCCCCCCACCCCAGGTTTTCTCCTTCATGCTCCTGTGCTAGCTCCACTAGGAACCGTCAGGCAGTGAAATAATTGCACCCTCTGAGACTTCATGTGTCAAAATGAGAAAAATCAATTCCTATCACCCAACGATCTATCACTCCAGGACACCACTAAAAACTGCTGGCTACTCCATGGTAGTGGAGTCTTTAAAGGTAATTTTTACAAGAAAAAGGACACAAACTGGGAGTCAAATGGAGCCTATTCTTTAAGAATCTATATAAGGGGCAGAGGGCAACTAAAATAAACCAAGAGAGGAATTTCCCTCTGTACTATCTTCTTCGGAGGTATTTACTGAAGAAACAAAACCAGAACATACTCAAGTGCCTGCTTGATGTAGAAAAACTTGCATGTGCTGAATCCATTAGAAAAGTGTTCAATAACAGTTTTCCTTGTGAAAATATTAGCCTTGTAATGGTTCCAAGTTCAGCATCTCCACAGGTTATCTGTTACATAAGTGGCTGTGGCGGATGTAGGATAGCTGGACAGAATTCACAGTTCTAATGGGTTTCTACATTTTCCACTTGGGCAGGAATAAACTCCTAAGGGCACTGCTCAACCGCTCTGCTCAAAGCTGTACTTTAGGTCATTAAAAATGCTTATCAGCTTGAAATAATAGCCTCAAGATTGATACTAGCATGAAGCAAGTATTTGACACTGCTCTTCACCTAGGTCGATAGTTTCCATATTTTCCTGTAGGTCAGCTGAGTAAGCCACACTGTTACTCAGTCAGTCCCAGAAAGGGCATTTTCTTTTGTTCTGTCTCAACAGCTTCCAAATTATGAGAAACCTGCTGTGAGAGCTGAATAGAGAAACTGGCATATATAAGCAACATTTCCCAAGACAAAGAACACCGGATACCCAGTTATTTACTCAAAGTCTCAGAACAGGGATGCGATCCTTTCTTCCTTTTCTTTGGCAAACTCTACCATAAGTGCAAGAAGCCTTTCCACTAATATCAAAATTCCTTGTTAGACTTTATATAAGCAAATGAAATGGGGAACATGAAACAATTATTCTGACAATTTGAGAATAAATAAAATTTTAGTTTATACTGAAAACCATTTATAAAGATTAGCAGTGATTAAATTCTTTCAGTCATTTGAAAATTGTATTCTGCCCTTTGCCAATACAAGCAAAAAAGAGCAAATGCTTATTAATTATTATGATTGTCTGTAGGATACCATGGGTGCATAATACACACAGAAAATGGAGTAATCATTTCAAAGACAGTGGCTTTTACAAATTTTTAATATTCTTCCTGCTCCTTTCTTCATTTAATAAATTTAGTACGGGCACTCACATCTTTGAGCTGTGTGGGGTACTTCATATAGCACAATGTGTTAGATAAAATTGTAAAAATAGTCTTCTTCAGCTATATCAATGTCACTGTAAGCAAGTTACATAAATTTTGTACATAGATGGAGACAAAAGATAAAATGGCCCTGAAGTCAGAGAATTGAGTGAGATCCAGTCTTTGCTCTTACTAGCCATTAGACCATGTACAAGTCAATTAACTCTCTTCAGTCTTCTCACCTATAGAATAGGTATAAAAATGACATGATCTAACAGGGTTCTTTTAAGGAATAAGTCAGATAACATACACAAATTCCAGTGGCATGATGCCTGGTACATATAAGAAACAGTGTGTATACATGTGTGTGCATATATATTATATATATTATAAATCGAAGTTACCATGGCACAAAATAAACCATCACCTAAGACAACTCCTAACTAAAGAAAGACGGTAGTAATATTCTCCAAGTCAATTTTTTAAACTTGAGATGGTCATACTCGAAAAAGCATAATCTCTTGTTGACAATACCACAATTTAGTGCCACTGGGGATAGTTTATGAAGCCAAACAGAATACGGTTATATGCATGAGAAGCAATTTTCTTTGCCACAAACAAACATAATTAAATCTACTTTAAAACAGTGCTGACTTTATTTTTTAAAGACTGAGGTTGGCATTTTGGGATTACATTTTTTAAAAAAGATAATTTATATTCATCCCCCTCTAAGGGTGGTAATGATGATTTTTCACTCCATACACTGGATCGTGATCCACGTACATCGACTGCTCACACTGGGATTTCCTAAAGCGGGAATTGGTTGTAACTAGCTACCGTGCTTACTCGTTTTTATGGAGGGAGATTTCCTTGATTAATACTAAAGACTTTCTTCTTAATTTTGGGTTTGAGAACATTTATTATTTTCCTTTTCGACAGAGTTAAATGTGTTTATTGTAGAAAATTTGGAAAATACTGAAAAATACCACCCCTCAAAAAAAAGAAAAAGAAAAGCCACCTGTAATTCCACTCTCTGTGATAATTACTACAAACGTGTTGTGACATAGTTTTTTCTAGTCTTCTTACTTATTTCTCTTTGTCTTTCTCCAAAATTCAAATTTGGTACCAAATTACAAGAACAGTCTTGTATCATGCATTTTAACTTAATATTATATAGTGAACATTTTTCCATAAAATTTCATCATATGGATATAGCTTCATTTTTTATCCAATATCCTGTTATGGAATATTTAAGTTGTTTAAAACACCTTTTTATGAAAAATACTACAATGAATATGATTGCTTATAAACCTGATAATTAAAAATTCTTCATACCTGGCCAAAGCAACCTGCGTAATGAATGAGGCTGGGAAAATCCTTAGAACAACTCAATTCTGCAATGGCTTCTGTTTCACTCACCATCCAGCGTACACACTCCAACTGACCATTCTAGATTTTTGAAAAAAGAGAAAAAGAAATTCAACGTAATTTAGGTTTCAAAAATAGCTCATAGACAGTAATTTTAGCAAGGAAAAAAATCACATGAATTTGGCTTTTTTATCTAGCTTAATTTATTTACAATATCACCAATTATGTTACTGATATGTGGTTTTGGCTCTACGTCAACTGCAGAATTTACTTAACTACATTTTCATTATTTTAATCAGTTATTTAAAAATGACTGTATTGAGGTATAATTTGCATACTATAAAATATACCCTTTTTAAGTTTGATGAATTTTAAAATTCCTGGCTGCATCTTTGTCCATGCCAGTGGCTTCATTGGTGGGCACCGCACCCAAGAGGGTGCCTTAAGCATGGCTTATGCCACCTTGGCCCAGCGCCCAGCACCTATGCCTCCCACAAATCACATTGTCCAATAAAACTTGACAAACATATACCCACTTATAACTAGAACTCCAATCAAGATATAGAATATTTCCATCACCCTACCAAACAAATTTCTACTAGAACTTTGCTCTCATCCCCCTCACCTGCCACAGACATCCACTGATATGATTTCTATTACCATAAAATAGAGCATGTACTCTTTTGCATCTGGCTTCCTTCATTCAACATAATGCCTCTGAGATTCATCCAAGCTATTGCTTGTATGAATAGTTTACTCCTTTTTATTGCTGAGAAGTATTCCATTGTATGAATATATCACAATTTGTTTATCCATTAACTCTTAGAATGGGCTTTTTCCCTTGGGAAGTTAAAATATTAGAATTCCAAAATAAAGAGAAAATAATCCTATTATATTGGCTCTAATGCTACTTTCACTGAAGCCCTCCCTGACTCCGTGCCCACGGTAGCTTTTTTCTCCCGTGCCGAGATCCCACACTGTGCAAAACCAGGAAAGCCATTGTGACATCTATAACCTAGTGATGAAGACTCAGACTTTGGAATCTATTTAAATCCTTAATCCACTACTCACTTATAAGACCTTGAACAAGTTACATCACCTCTGATACTCAATTTTCTCCTCTGTGAAACAGCAGGGTTAGAAGTAACTATCTCATAAAGTTACTGAGGAGATCAAATGAGATGAAGCATGCCAGCTTACTAAGCACACAATACTTCTTACTTTATACTCTCAGAGTACTCTCTTAGATCTTCATAATCACTCTATAAGACAAATGAGACAGACATTCAACTGCCTTCCTGGTTTGCAGAGCCTGGACCTTAGCACAGGAGAAAAGAGCTACTGTGGGCATGTTGTCAGAGAGTCTATTCTAAAAGCAAGACAGAAGGGGTAATCTGCTCATTCATTTACTCCTATGGAAATTTCAAGTAGTCAAGTACCAACTATACACATGCAGTCTATTCTCGTCATTTGGAATATCTAGCATAATCAGGTATGTGTTGAATAGCTTCTTGGTGTTCATTCAGATCTATCTCCTCCCTTCTTTGCCCTCCTTGCTGCCAGGGGAGGCTGATCTGTATGAACTGGCTCCCTTGCCCCCTGGCTTCTAGCTGGGTTTGGCTGATGGAGAATGATGGCAGGAGATCAGGAAAGGAGAATGAGTTGGAGGTCCTCTCCGCCTCTGGCTCACCTCTCACTGTCCCCTACCCCCACGGGGTTGCCATTGGCCAGCTGAGTTCCTCTATTAGTCAAAGGTCAAAAGTCAGCCAGTCCTTCAGTTCAGCCCTCTCTATCGCATATCCATCTCTGGGGTGGTACTGTGCTCTGGTTGTTATCCCTAGATACTGCAGTTTCCTTTGTGGGCTCCCTACACCCCATCTACCCTTCTTTTGTGTATTACTCATTCATTATAGATTTTCCTTAAGTTATACAATTTGAACATGCCAAGTGTTTCTTACCAAGATTAAAAAAAACAAAACACTGATACAATGTACTTTATTCCCTCTGAATAAAGAAAGGAATGGGAACCATACTGAGCATCTATTAGTCAAGACAGTTTATATAAACTGGTATTTAGGCAGAGCATAGAAATAAAAAGTAACATTTGATTTTAATAATTTGAGTCTTCTCTCTTGTTTTCTTGGTCTTACTAAAGGTTTACTAATTTTTAAAAATCTTTTCATAGAACTAAGTTTGATTTTGTTGATTTTCTCTATTGTTTCGCTATGCTCTATTTATTTCCATTTGAATTTTTAAATTTACTTCCTTCTGCTTTGAATTTGGTTTGCTTATCTTTTTCTAGTTTCCGAAGGTAGGTTAGGCTATTGATTTGAGATCTTTCTTCTTCTTCTTTTTTGTTAACATAGGCAATTAAAGCTATAAATTTCCCAGTAAGCACTGCTTTAGCTATATCCTTAAATGTTGCTATATTGCACTTTCCTTCATCTCCAAATGTTTCAATTTCTCTTGTAATTTCTTCTTTGATACGATTATTATTTTAGACTGATTTAATTACATATACTTGTGAATATCCCAAATTTCCTTCTGTTATTGATTTCTAAATGCATTCTCATTATGGTTGAAGAACATACTTCATAAGATTTCAACCATATTAAATTTATTGAGACCTGTTTTATGGCCTAACATATGGTCTATTTTCGGAGTATGTTCCATGTACACTAGAGAAGAATTTTGCTGTTGCTTGGTTCAATATTTCGGCTGATGTCTAATAGGTCTAGTTATTCAAGGAGGTAACATTTAAATAAGTAAAATGCAGCTAGAAGAGCAGAAAGAAATATATCACTACTGTGAGACTGAAAGCGATATCACTTGCCATAAACAGAATATGGAGAAAACAAAAGATGTTACTAAATTCTAGTGGGATATTTTTGCCTGCTCGAGTCTCTGAGCCTGGGGGCACTCAGTGTATGTTAAAAATGGGATGTCAGTAGGTTGTGTCTGAAGTCATTTTCTCACCAGACCAACATTTTCTCTTTGAGCTTAATCAGAAGGACTAAATGAGAAATAAAAAATGAATTAAGGTTATTTCATTCCAAGTCTGTTTAACTCCTAAAACAATTTCCTGTTCTGGCCTCGCTTTAGAAAAAGCAGTGCTTTCACCTTACAGAAATCTTTCTTTCCAATTATTTTGCTTAACTGTTCCCAAAGGATATTCAATAATGCCCTGAACTCCTGCAGTATCTAGTGTTGGGTCCCCCAGAAAACACTCAATAAATTCTGCACGCAACTGGCAAGAATTTATTATGTTCCATTTAAGGAGTTTAAGAGTGGGAGAGAAGAGATGTTCTTAAGCCTGAGTATGACTTCAAAGGTCTTTTTTCTCAGGTAATCTTTTTATTTGATACCCTATCTATGACTTTGCTTCCTGTCATCCAAGCCATATTATCTGAACAGCTACTGCCCATTTGTACCAAGTTTGTTTGTCTTAAATGACAGCAGGGCTCTCAGAACTGTGCTTAATGAGGTGAAGCACCACCAGCCACTTACTGGTGTTCAAAACGAGGTCCTAAAACAGAAGAACACTGACTTCTTAGGACCCTCTCAAATGCATTAATGTCCATCAAAATACACTGAATGGACTGAAGTAGGACATGTATCAGGAAAGATTTCTAAAGGGGGTGGTGCTTATTACACAATATTTGTATTTACTGCTTTTGTAAATTCTAGGTTAAATGAAGGAATAGAAGAACACTTCCATTTCTCAAGTCACTGTCCAGCAGTTAATCATGAAAAGCTTGAAACTTTTTTTGTGTCTTATGGGTTTGTATGTGTTCTTTATTAAACAAACAAAAAATGTTCCAAATTTGTATGCTGATTATATGATGGCAGTACCGTGTTGACTGGGGGAGTTAAAGAATGAGCAACATTTAATATGGATACTATAGAAGGAGTTTATACCAAGGATATTTCTTATGTATCTTCCTACTCTGAAGATTCTTAAGCTATCAAAACAATATTAGGGCATATAAATTAAGAAAAAACTTTTTATCCGACTACATAGTTAGAATATATTAAACAATCAATGCAGTCAGGAAAACTACATTGTAAGGTATAAATATTTTATAAATACTAAAACATTTAGTGTTTTAATGTCAAAGTTCATTGGGATTCCAAGGATATTTTATTCATTACTGACACATGCCCATTGATGACCAGACCCAACCCCTATTCTCCCATAGGACTCTGACATAGGGCTAGATCCTGAACTTGCCTTCTGCACTTGAATTCCTACTGACGACCTATCTGCCTTACCCACCAAGCTATCAGTTCCTTAAGAAAAGGTACTAAGTCTCATTAAAATTTGTACCATTACCTAACACAGTATCCAGGAGACGCCATACATATTGTTGAACTGAACTATACTGAACCACAACTTCACATTTGATTCCTCTTCCTTCATGATGCCTGCCTGCAGGTCAGCTCTTCATTTGATGCAACATCATTCCCACACAAGGGAAAATGATATCCACCGGGGTCATAGATTTCTTATTTTACCAAAAAGTTATTTTTTATGCTATCTTTGAAATAATACCTTATCATTGAGTACAATTAAATAAAATAGAAAACAACTTTTAATATATAAAACTTTACTGAATGGTAAATAAAAAGTCCATATTTGCATAAAAGATACATTAGGGGTAAGGCAGCAATTGCTTGTTTTTCAAATGCTATATGTTCCTCAGTGAATTCACAAGTAGATTTCTTTAACTAGAAAATTCCTCTAATAAATATTAATATAATTCCATTTATAAAAATTATGATTATTTGGCTTTTAGAAGACATTATTATATAAAGCAAAGTACATATGCAGAAGCGCAAAATGTATTATATTTTCCTGAACTTCATTTCTAGCTTCTTAATACATATATAACTCAATTTCACATTTATTTGCCAAACATCTTAGAAGTCATTTTAGTTTAATAGCTAACCTTCTAGTGATGATTATATATTTTACAGAAGCACTCTCTACAGTGTAATAAAAGACCACGTTTTCCTATCTTACAGTTTCTAGGTTTTAACTCTATCCCAGTCACCATTAATTTGCGTAGTTTTTGGTAGACAGCCTACTATGCTCTGCAAAAGCTAAACTCAAACTCAGCACTGATATTCTAAACAACTCTTAATCCTGAAGACATTTAAACTTCGGATGTGATCCACAAGAAGCCCACTTCATTATCTGAAATACTTCCTTAAAATACACCTTGTCCTCAACTGTTTTGTTCATTACATTCACATTAGGAAAAAATGAAACAGTCTCAGATAAGTTCAGGTGTGGCTAAGAGTCTAAATTGCAGTCTCCAACGAATAACAAAGTTCTTAGAACCTCAACAGATCATTTATTTTTCTTTTTATTAGTAATTTAAAGCTTACTCTCTTTGCACAATAAATTGGAATGCAATTTCAAAATCTCAAAGCCGTTAGTGACTAAAATGATTATTCTTTTAAATGTAACATGTTCATTTGCTGTTTGCTTGGTATATCACTCTTCTCTTTCTCCATTCCAACACTTTAACTCACTAGGAATCTTAAAAAATAAAAATTTAACTTTTAGCTGTGGAGGGCCCAGCCCCCAACCAGTCACCTTGATGGCCAGGCCCGCCGGTGTGAGCTTCTCGGCATTTCGCTCATTGAGGCAATCTTCTCCCATTAAAGAAGTGAGGTGCTGCAGACATTCTGCGTGGCCCTGTGACGCAGCGATGTGTAAGAGATTGTTTCCGCTTTCATCATGAATTTTGTCTAGATTGTCGGCAGCTAGATGTGGCTGTACAAATAGTAAGATTAGAAAACTTAAGTCAATAAATCGGAAGGGGATGCTGTGGAGGGTTTGCTCTGGGAACTGGGAAGAAGAGATGAGCTTCCAGAAGTTCCGGTGGCAGCCGTGGGGGTCTAGTAGGTCAGAATTCCTGGCTATTAATTCTAATGAGTTTCCATTACATTTTTTGTTGTACTAGGTTTTAGAACATGAATGCTCAAGAGACTTATCCTCACGTGAGACATGGTGACAGAGATTGGCCGGCAAGTTTGGAGAGGCGCCAAGCTGGCTTCTAAACAGCTGTGATGGCATTCATGGTAACCGGCAGGTTCCCTGTCTCTTCCACTCAAGTGCTAAGTCCAGAAGGCCAGGCTGTGTTATGTTCCCTGTTGTAGGTTTGCTGAATGAATGAACTACTTATCTCAACCAACTGCTTTCCCTCGAACTACAGAGAACTGGCTTTGACTGCAAGCTACATGGTGCTGCCACAGATAGAGCTCCCATGGGTACTTCTAGACACTTATATCCCCAGACAAACTCCTGGGGGCATTTAGGAGGCTACCTGCCTTTGGTTTTTCCACCTCTAGCGAAGTTCGTCCCCAGAGTATGAACTGGTTGATAAAGACTGTTTGGTAAATTGAGAGGTGTTAGTATTTGGGAAGCATGAAAACATGGGAAGGACAAAAAAAGGGAATGAACCGAACAGAAATAGAGAAAAAGAGCCAAGAGAAACGGAAAAGACATTTTCAGGAGAAAAAAAAATGATTACTCTATTTAGTAAAATTATTCAATCATATCATCCTATTACAACAATAAGATTTGTGATAATAGACTAAGCACATTGCACTTATCTATGCATGGTTTTATCCTAAGTAGAATTACACCGCCAAGATGGGATGATTTTCCTGAGTGAGACTTTAATTAACATCGTAGTATTAGTCCAGGCTTGCTACTGTTTGATCCAAGCCTGGAAGCCAGAAAAGAACAGTGTAGGCAGATGGAGTATGATTTCAGCTCAACTCTCTCAGCCTAAGAACAGATTTTTGTTACATCATGTTACTCTGTGTCTAGTGTCTTTGGAAAAGCTTCTTCATGCTCCCTAGACACGCAGAGCTGGAACTAGTGAAAACTCCATGTGGGTCAGAGGGCAATCAAGCTCTAGGGTAAGCTTCTATCTGCAAATGCGTTCAAACATCCTGGTCCAACTCTTCTGAATAACGATCAGGATAGAACAGAAGACCCTCTGTTCATGTATCTGGCAGATTCACCATCATCAGGGAACTGACATCTCCACAAATAACTGAATGAGAGCACTGAAAACCATTGGAAGAGAGAGAGAAAAAAAGACAGTGAGATTCAAGTTAAAGAAAGTGCTGGGCTTTTCTGTTTTGATTTTGTTTTAGAATGTGTGTATTTATTTCAGTTGAATTCATGCAAAGTTAAAGCGAAAATACACTCACTCTATAGCCATTTGTTTTCCCCCACATTAACCTCCTGACTTTCTATTCTAAAACTCAAAAGTCAAATCACTTAACTAAACCCATAAGTAAAGATTAAACAAGAATGGGAACAAATGCATCATCATTCTGTTACTAACAAATGGAGCTAATAAAAACTGCAGTCTCTAAATTACTCATATGTACGCTGAATTAGATCATACTTACCAGGAGAGATATCTGTCCTTCTTTAACGATGTTCAAGATGCTTTTCATTTTTTTCAGATACTCGTTCCTTTCTTCGGGGCCCTGGGAGCTGGCCCAGTTCATGCCACCGATCTGCTCTTCTAGCTTGGGTTCTGGTGCTGAGGACTGCAGATGGAAGGCCCTGAGCTGGCAGTCTGGCACTGGCTTCTCAACTTTTCGACCATGAGGATCACTAAAGGTATTGTTTAGGAAGTCCTTACTCTGGTTTTCAGGCTCATATGCGGAGCCACATTTAACCAGAGGAGGCGAGCTCTCGCAGTCTTCAGGGGAGGATTTTTGCTGGTCGTGGAGGACAGATGACGCTTTTCTCAAGTGAGGGCTTTTCACAGGAGAAAGAACACAAAACGGTGTCATGTTGGCCAGTGAGTTCTCAGCACTTCCTGTAGGGCAGGCTTTGCCGGAAAGGCCATTGATGGTTGTGCATAAACCCAAAATCCTTTTTTCCGAAGTCACCTTGGTAAAAGTGGCAAGCTGTTGACTGGATTTAATGTAAGGCACATCAAGGATCTCATCCATGTCGAGGTCATAGTGCTCCAGCTCGCCCAGTAATGCGTTGGACCCCGCGGTCCTACTTTGGGGGCCGCTCTCTCTCCCCCCGGGGCCAAGCTCCTCCGGCTGGGGGCCCGGATCGGAATCACCTCCTTTCTGGTACTCCACCTTCTGGTTTTTCTGGTCATCACTTTCATTGTTGTCTAGAGTCTCCGGCTGATGTTTCAGCGGAGAAACTCGCTTCACTGGGCGGAACTTACTGTACACATCGGCGATCCCCGTGGGCTTTTGCACATTTGTAATAAGAGTGGAGACACTGCAATTCCAGCTAGAGCTAGAAACTGTTTTAAAATAAAAGAGGAGACGATTAAAATGAAACACTGAAAATATCTTGGCCACACAGGCAGACATGGTCCACCCAAGTTATGTTCAAAGTAAGCCCCTGTGTGAAGGAACGACTTAGAATGAGTATCACGAAACAAAGTTCATACTTACCATTGGAGAACGGTGAAAGATAAAAGAAAGTTATGATATGTCGGCTCAAAATTAATTAAAAAATAGTAGAAATGGTAAAAGGAGAGGGTTAAAGAAAAAAACCTAGACGGATATTCAGTTTTATTCCCTGGAAGGTTATATCTGCCTAGCAATATTTTGAGACTTGTCACCACCCTGAAAAACAGAATTGGAGGATAGGATCCTTTGTGTTAAATGAACTTCCAAACTAATTTAGGGAGAAAAGGGATGTATGCACACACGTTCATACATGCACACAACCATATACACATATATATGCACAACTATAAAGCTTAAGAAGTCCCATATAAAAAAGGGATAAATTGTTTAATATTGGGCAAACAAAC